ATTTTTTTGGAAGTCTCAATTTAAGTTTAAATGTTTGTCTACATTAGTGGCATTTTGTTTCCTCTAACATTTCCTCTAAGTTTTGAAGGTTGTACAAGAAACTGAGTGGTTTCATGATTTATATATAACTTAAAATGCATATTTATGAACTCTAATACTGTGTATTTAATCACAAGGAAAAAATAATTTTACAGTTGTCTATTTATTAATAATTGGTCCATGCAAGTTTTTATATGAAAAGTTTTTTTCTGTGAAATGTGAGGATCTTTCTTTTCTATTTCCAAAACTATAGATACTTGTTTTGCAATGTTGCAGTGATTTTTCAAAACCAAAGTCTGAACTCTTTGAAGAATTCTAATAACTTTCTGATATAGTTTATTGCAGTGTCCATGTGTATATTTTTATGATGTAGTATGTTACTACCACAGTTGACTTCCTAAGTTGTGGCAAATTTTTACTTTCTATGTTGTTTCCCAGTGCTCAGGCCAGAGAGTTGATATCTGTGCAGATGCTTTATTTTAGCAATGGGCTCCAGGGACTGATGGGCAAGCTGGCCTCCCCAGTTTCCAGGGCTGCCCCTATGAGGAACACCTTTCTCCCAGGGCCAGTTTCTGCTGCAGCCTTCTCCATTGCCATTACTCTGGGCTTAGGTTCTGGTGCAGGCAGTCCTCCAGGGATCCCTGGGCCTCAGATTGTGTGTGTGTGTGTACATGTCTGGTATCCAGGCCAGCTGCACAGTATGCATGGTGCCCACTGTTGCCTGACTGATCTATACATTTCATTTGCAGTTGGACTTCACTTATAAACACAAGTTGAAAGATATAATTATTAAGAATTTTAAGATGGTGAGAGCAGAGCATTGAATCAAACCTTTTAGAGCAGAGCCCTGTACAAATTCACAGGTCACATACCCACAAAACCACTCCTGAATCCAGTAGTTCTCAACCAGGGGTATTCTGCCCATCATGGTGAGCCACCTCAGGTTCTAATTATGTGCAATTCTAATTGAGTCCTTGAAAGCAAGAGTGATGAGCTATATTAGCACAAAAAAGCAGATATTCACCCAGCCAGGTCTGTCACTCTCAAGCACAGGAGGCCATCTTCTCCCCTCTGTATAGCAGTTCTCCAGTAGAATTGCCTGGAGACTCCAGTGCTGGGCAGCTCCTGCACCTGCTTTCAGCTGTATTCTCCTTCCTTGGGGGAGATAGCTAAAGTCAATAGTGGGAGGTGTGGTGACAGCAGCTGACTTGGAAACTGCCCAGTTAAGATTTTGTTCACTCAAATAAAAGTCCAAGATGGATCCAGTTTAGGGAGAGATTAGGGAGCTATTGTGCTCCACATAGTCATCCAAGGATCCAAGTTGCTGATAGCTCTAATATCCTCAATTGGTGGCTTCAAGGTCACTGCAGGTAGTAACATCCAGTGACAAATGGAGGCTCACATCTAGTCCAGGGCTTGGAAGTAGTACAGATCACCTTCCATTCAAATTCCATTGGCCAGAACTCAGAAATATGGCCTTACCCAAGTGCATGAGGGCTGGGAAACATAGTCTACTTCTGTGTACAAGATGAAGTAGAAATTATTTTGGTGTTTGGCTGCTTGCCTCTGCCATAGGAAATTTTCAAAATGGGAGATTTGGAGTAAAATGTATATAATGTGTCCCCAGTGCTTCCTAGATAGGCATGTCTGTGGGAACACCTGGTATGTGGGGCCAGACTGCCCTGAGAGGCAGCTTCCCAGCTGTGGTTCCTTGTTCTCATTGATGTTTGATTCACATTGTAGCTTGTGTTCTGGGAAGAGCATGCATGGAGCATCCAGGATCAAACAAGCTGACGCTTCTCATTATAAAAGATCAAGTTGACTTTTGCACAGCTGTCTTGAGTGTACTTAGCATGAATCTATTGCTCACAGTTAAGCAGATATTTGGTGCTCTGTATGTGCAGTTAGAAAAGTAAAATTCAGGACTTTGGAGATAAAAGCAGTGCTGAGATCATTCTAACCCTCTATCTGCCTCATATTAAACAAGAAATTCAACATCATAAATGGTAAACAAATTAAGTGTGTGATATTAAATATTCAATGACAGAAGCCTCATTTAAAATAATCTGTGGAATTAATAGTTACACATCAAACCACATACTATGATTATTTTTGTTGAGTTTTAATCTGATTCCTGATGGCAAATCGGAGAGCTCTATCCTTCTGTATGTCACCTTGTCAGTATTTTGGAGAAAGAAACTGGAAGAGTTGTTGAAAGAGGGCACCCAGCTGATTTGGTAAAACCTTATGGCTGAAATGCCTGGAGCAGTTCTAGCTAACGTCTGTTGCTATGGCATAATCACTAAAAACATTGCTTTTCACTCTCAAAAGAGTCCTGGTTTGGATGATAAATTATACAGTAGTGAGTGACCGGGAAGCAGTACCTTTATGTGGCCACCATGGTTCAAGGTCTGGTTTGCAGCTTTGCAGAACCAGCAGCTCAGGATGTCAGGACACTCAGGCTGAGCCAGGATGGGAGGAAGCTGATGCACAACAAGGAAATTACAGGATATTGGGTCTTAAATCAGAACTCTGTGTTTTTAACTTATTGTGAAGATGGACTGCCAAGCAGAGTGGAAACTAATGAGGGTTGGCTAGTGTGTTGTGTGTCTTGCAGGGCAGCCTCCTGAAGAGCCAATTATTATGACTCTGATGGATGGGGGGATTTGAGGTGATCAAGGCTGGTCAGAGGAGCTGATGTAATTTGCAGGACTTGTCTCAATACTTGGTACCCTGAGAAAACATACTTTTTGTCCTACTGAGAGTTTTCCTTTACAGCCAGGAAATTGTTTAGTTGCCCTTCTAAAGAGATATTTGGGTAAGCATCAGCTATAGGTAAAGAATAAGGATGTGTGGACCCAGCTAACCCTCTTTACTAATGTTAAGTCCCAAGTTCCCTCACCCATTTTCAAGGCCTGTTGGGACCAATGTCAGTATTAAATACCCGTTGATGCCTGGGGTCCAGCCAGGATTGGCCCTCTCCACTCCTTGCTTGCTGGCAATATTGGAGGTTGCAGAGATACTAAGTATTCTTATGGTGAATCTTGTGCTCCCTCACTGCCACTTTACCCGCCTCCACCAATTCCTAATAAACAATAGACAGAATGGCCAGAAAAAGATTTAAATCAGTTTTATTAAGGGATTGGAGAACACAGCTGGGATCTGAGGCCCACGTGAGGCTTCTTTCATCCTCTCTGAAGTGATAATAGCTGGGCCCACAGGGTGGGGCTTGCGAACTTACCCACCCCATCACGGACTGAGGCTGGAATGTGGAGAGCCGAGTCTGGGCTGGGCCCACCATGGGCAGGTCCTGCTGGGTCTGTTTACTGCATGGAGACTGGAAGCCCAAAAGCAGGTCCAAGAGCAAGAGAGAGAGAGAGAAGCAGGAGGACAAGTAAGCAGGGACCTTTAGCACATTCACTCTACCCCGTAGGAAAAGATGGCCCAGATTGTCTCAATTTCCTCAGCCACAGCCATCCCGAGGTCACCCCAGAGGTGGACCCTTCTCCCTGGTACTTTCCTTCCAAGCTGGAGTGTGGTTAGGAGATGTTTCCCCTAATCCTTTGGCTGAGCAAGGAATGTAGGATCAGGAAAAAGGTTTCTCCCAAGAGCAAGCACGGGTCAGGTGCCTGGACTGCTCAGGATAAGTGGCCAACGGCTGTTTTGTGGGAGCCTTCAAGTCTGCAGACACTCACCCAAAGGTGCTGCCTAGAGCTGCCAGAGCTGGGGCTATGGGTCCATAGGTAAGCTCATGCCTGACCACTAACCACTGAATTTCTTTTCTTGCCTGTGCTATAAAGCCTGGATCCCCAGGGACTGCTTAGTAAGAACTTGACAGACTTCCCCCACCTCCCACTCCTTGGGAGGGTGAAATGGATGAAGGTGGTTAGAAGGTATAAATTTTGTTATAATATAAATAATTCTGGGGATGTAATATACAGCATGATTACTAAAGTTAATAATAATACCATACTGTATATTTGAAAGTTGCTGTGAGAGGAAGTCAGGTTCTTACCACACAAAACAATTAGAACTATGTGAGGCAATGGATGGTGACTAAATTTATGGTGATCATTTCACAATATATGCATATATCACGGCATTATGTGGTATACCTAAGACTAACATATGTCAGTTATAACTCAATAAAACTAAAAACTCAAGAGGCCATCATAGCTGGTGTACTATTTGGCATGTGTGGTGTTCCTATTACAAAGAGCCCTCTTTGCTTCAGTCTGAGAACACATTCTGATTTAACTGGCAGTGTGGAGGTGTTAGTTTTTGAGACAAGCCAAAGCAGAGGGCCTTTTAGGCTATGCTGTATGGAGGGGAAGGTAGGAGTAGAACAGTAAGATTCTTCCAAGGCCAATGAACAAGTGCTACAGAGTGGAGTCTGACGGAGCTCTGACACTGAACGGCCAGGAACAATGACATACTTCTCTAGCTCTCTGAACTCCTTCCTCCTACCTGTCATCTAGAATACCCCTCTTCCATATTTGTCTATGCTTTTCTATTTCTCTAGGTATATTAATGTCATTAATTAGCCATAGCTGTCTTTTATGGTTGGGTACATTCAATAGTCCTGGTTTTAGCCTGGGTGACTTCTACAAAGGGTTAATCCCATCCCTTACCTGTGATTTTTCTTTTCATACTATCACCATTCAAGGTCTTATATGGTACCTTCCTATAGTTCCCAACAAGCTATTTATGTAGCTTTACTTTGAATAAAACTTAATGATTGCAGAAACATATTTCCCCAGAGTATTTTTATTAGGGATTCCTGCCACCATATTAACATATAAAACAATTTGGATGTTGACATAGAAATGCAGATTTCACTATACAAAGATAAGGCTCCAATCACAGGTAACATGGCCTCATATCTGTAGTATTTCAATGAAATCAACTCATTTTGAATTCTTCCCAGAGTTGTCTTATCAATATTAGACAAACCACAAAATATAATCCAAATACATAACATTTTACAACATATGTTCCAAGCACAGACAGAAATACACCATACTTTACCTACATTTTTTTCATGATCCAACTTGTACTGTCACTAAAGACAAGACTGTGTGTGTATATGTATCTGCCATATGTGGGTGTATATATATATATAACAACAAGTGTACACAGTTGTTTTCATGGGAAATTGAAAGCTTTGAGACTGTGGGTATTGTCCACCATGATTATCTGAGAAGGAAAAGGAATAACATGTCCCAAATTCTTCAATTTGGGGAAAAAGAAATACAACTATGTGTAAAGGGCATATCAGTTGTATGTATATAAATACACATATATACCACTAATATGGAACATACATATACTCACACACTTGCTTTGTACTCTGTATCTCTGTATTATATACTCTCCATCTTTGGAAGCAGTCTTTTCCTCATTTGACTCGGGCCTCTGGTGACTGTCTTCTAACAAACTTAAGTGGATATTTCTAAAAGGTTCTGATTCTATTCCAATAAAATGGCATTTCAGGATCCCAGTTTTACTTTTGGTGGCTCTTGTTTAAATTCAGCAGACTCTATCCTGTCAACTCCTTCACTTAAAAACATTTCTATTCAACTTGATGTTTTTGCCTAAGAGAAAAGAGATGTTAGCTGGAAATGTTAATACATTAGTTCTTAATATAAATCTGCATAGTTGGACTATGTGTGATATCCTTTCAGTATTTTTCAGGTTTTACAGTAGCAGTATATTATTTCCATAATTTAAAAAAATGTTACCTTAAGGGCTAGATGATTTGATATGGTTAGAACTTCAAAGAAAATGATATGAAGCATGTTTAGAAGGTGGATTAATTTTTGTACAGACTATACTGGAGCACCCTTATGTCAGAAGTATGACCAAGAAGTCATAAAAAAGAAGAAAAAAGTTGAATCTCAAAGCTGGCCACTTGCAAACTTCAAAAAAAAAAACTGTAGAAAATATATTTCTATATTGGTATCAAATTTCAGGTAGTAAACATTGTTTATTAAAAAGCAAAATAAATCCCTGAAAGCACATGAGAAAGAACTCTAATAGCAAATGGATATTACAGTGTGGTCAACTCAAGCTTCACGAGTTGACTCTTAAAACTTATCTTCAAAATTAGATGTCTAATAAAGCACTTGGAGCTCCATAAATGAGTAGGACTGGAATGGCCAATGATTGTTATGGGGAGAGTACAGGCAGCCCCACCTCTTTGTAAATGAAGGCAGTAGGATGTTCTCAGTCTGTGGAGAAATCTCCGTGCTCTTTTTCCTTCTCACACCACAGTATGGAGAAGTACTCTGCGTGACAAGGCACCAGAGCCTTTCTGTTACGGATTCACTGGTATGAAGGAAGATTCTAGAGCACTGTCCCCCCTGCTGTCTGATTAGGGAGTCATTTCCCTCCTTCTCCCAGCTGGAATGGTGTTTCAATTACTGAGCCCCCTCTGCTTCTCTAATGGGAGCCCCAAATGAGTTAAGATCTTAGAGACACCCAGCAAGAGTCTAATGACCACCTCAAAAACCCCAAATCCATTCTCCTGTACACTTTCTCTCTCATACACACACTTCTTTTGAAGTTTCTCAACTTTTATTAGATCCTCTTAAAACATACCCATGTCAACTCGGACAGCAAGCACACTGTTCCTACATCCAACACATTCATTCCATCACCATCACCTTCATAAAATAGGTCATTCACCTGCCCTCACTTGCCCACCAGAACCCTTGCTTTACTACTTGCCATCTGTCCAGTTTCCATGTGTTTCCACTCTTGTTAATGTACAAAATTAACTTAATCATCTTTAACTTTTTTCCTGTAAAGTTTCACTTTCCTTTAAAAACATTCTGCTTCCCCAGCCAAAATATATGGACAGAGCTCAAATGAAAGTAACTTAAAGTCTTGTCCAAATACTTTGAAAAATGGACCACGCTGTGTCCATTTGATGCTCTCCATTTCTACATCCAATTCCATCATCTGTTTTAGGAGCTTATTACTATAGTATCTTTCTACCTGTTTTCTGTCTTATATGCAGATAACAACAAATTATGCGACTGTTCAGCCAAAAATATTTTTAAAAACAAACCAGTGCCAAAATATTAAAAAATTCCTGACATACCCTTTGTGCATTAGTCTTACAATCTGTACACTTAAATAACTCCAGGAGGCTTTTTTGCTAAAAATTTACCAAAATATTTTGAACACATAAAAATATTTTTAAAAAAACAAAAACAAAAGCCCAGCATAAATTTAGTTGTATAGGCATTGGTTAGAGGACATTGTTTTCACTAAGGATTATATTCAAAAGTGTTCTCTTGAATTTTTACTAAAATTCTGATTCTGAACCTTATAGCTTGTAATGGTGCTATTAAAAAAGAAATCTAATTCAGCTCAAAGTATTATAATAAAGAGTATGTCTGTACTATAATAAAAAATAAACATTTTTGGTTAAAGGCCATCTTCCTGACCTGTAACCAAAATAACTGTATCTGATTAAAACTTACTTAGTTGCAGTGAATTATGGAAAGCTAATCAGTAATGTGTAAGGAATGCCTGTCGATAGCCCCATGACCATTCAGAACCAGGCATTTGCTGAAAAAAAAAAAAAAACCACCTGTATTGAATATAGCCCTTAGTCTTATGAGATAGGAATTTTATGAACAGCCCAGCATGTAAAGAATGAGGTTTACTTTGCCAGCCACCCACTCCTTGAGAGGACAGTAGTATTCATAGTGAAATTGCTCAAATTCTGGCGTCTGGCGGATTTCACATAAGAAGGAGAGATCAATACCTGACTCCAAAAGGAGGAGGAGCAGGGGGAATACAAAGAGCAGCAGCCCCAGGCCCACCACAAGGAGCCTGGAAAAACTCTTGACCAGTGGGTTCACCCGAATATGGCCACTCAGAATGTCGTAGCTCCACGACAAAGCTTGGTGAGCCTCCTTCAGCTCCTCTTCTTCGGCCATTAAGAAGGCATTTTCATCTGCCTCCAGTTCCTCAAACGAATCTGTGTCTTCTCTTTCGAACTCCACCCTAGATGGACAGTCAAAGAGCATGTCGATCTCATCATCCACTGGGGTAGGGAGCAGGCTGGCAGTTGGGCTATATGCCAGTTCAGAGATGGTCAGGGGCTCTTCTTTTATTTTATCTTCCTCTTCACCTGGGGGATTTTCATAATTCCTGACTTCCTTCACTGGTGAGCTGGAGATCAAAGAGGCAGAAATATCATCTTCTTTGGGCAGTGGAACACCTGTAAAGAGACATTTTTTTTCTTAAGTTTGAATTTCAGGTTTTCTGTTTCCACCAAGATCTCTAGATGGACACAAACCCTCAAAAAAAAAAAAGTGGAATTCAAGGAATCCATGAAATTGTTCTGTGGAATCCTGACTTTTAACAAAGTCATTACAGACCATGTACCATAAGCTCTAAGGTCAACACGCTAAACCTGAAACAACCAACAATAAAACCTCAAATGTTTGGCAGTATTTACAAAGTTTAATTATGGTCTGCAAATGCCTAGCCATGGGCATGTCTTCAAGAATAAAATTATAATAAATCACTTATAATTTTGAGTTGTGTCTTTTAGAAGTCAACACTGTCATCCAAAAAAGCGTTACAGCAAAATTACAGAATTTGCTATCAAATGATAATCACTTTATTATTTTTATGTACTGGTTTCTACATTCTAGGCACAATTTTTTGGTTTCTAGTTTTATGTAATTTCAGTAATACTGTATACACAAACTTCCATCTTTCTCCTCTCATTTAACATTTTAAATGTTGAACTCTTGTTGGTATTTATAATGGCTGCCAAATTCTCTAGGCAGTTAATACAATATTAGTTGCCTGTTGGAAAATATTTACAATTTTTTTTTACAATTGCAAAGCAAATGCTATAAGACACCTTTACATATAAAGCCTTTTTCCCCTCAGTTCATTTGCTATACGTAGATGTCTGAAGAAAAATTGCTTGGTTAAAGAATATGAATATTATTAAAGTTTATTTGGGAAGAAGTATTTCTCAGCCCTTCATGTTACAGATAGAAATCTATAGTTACCTACTTATAGGCCTAAGGCCAGCTCTCCAAATTTTGATCTTGGCTTCTCAGAAGTGTTCCATAGGATGTAATATAATACCAGATTGGTAACCAGATGTATTAGGAAACTATAAACCAGCTTTTAATGAATATATTTCAGGATTTCTCTCTCCAAGATGTGCAGGAAGTGAGGTCACCAAGGTGACACAACATTGGCTATTCCTGACTTTGCTGCCTCGCATAAGAACAACTAGCAACTATCCATGGACAAGACACCACTGTGAGAACTCCAGAACACAGGAATGGGGCTGACGCAACTCCCTACAACTCAGACACCAAGACAGACTGCCTTGGAAGGGTAAGAGAAGCAACTCTATGCTGACCATTGCCCCTCCCCCAGGCTGATACCCGCACCATGTTGAGAGCACGCCCCTGAGCCTACAGTTCCTCCAGTTGGAAAGGAGACTCCAGGGGTGATATCAGCTCCCACTGAGCACTGTGGGTCCCCTCATGGGGGCCCTTACAAGGATTGCAGGGAAATCTTCACGTCTCAACCACTGGGAATCTGACTGTGATACAGAAAATAGGAGGGGCTTCTAAGAGCCAGTGCCCAACAGACCAAGCTTCTAATGGCAGAGCCCAAGCAGGTGTCCAAACCAGCAGCTTTGTTCAGCTGTGAAGCCAGAACAGTGGCTCATTCTAACTAGAGAACTCCATGGGATGCAGATGTGCTTGATTCAGGTACTTGGATGAGTTTTTCTGGCCCTAGAGCCTGTTTGCCCATGCCTAGGCAGAAGAACTGAGCCATAGCCCCACCTGTTGTGGAGCATGGCTACTGGCCCCTCCCAACTGGAAAGCCTGTTTGGGAAAATTCAAGAGTTGCCTGAACTGGGACCTCCAGTCCCACTCAGGCAGGAGGGCTGAGTTATAGCCACAGCCACTGCAAGAAGTGGGCCTCTGCCCCATCTGACAGAAAAGGCTGGCAAGAACACCTGCAAGCTGCATTACTTAACAGTGTTCCAGCTGAGAGGTAGGAGGACAGAGCTGACTGCACCCAGAGCAAAGTGAATGGCCCTGTTCAGACAGGGAAATTGGGGCATGGGGTCAGCTTGAGTGAAGATCACAAATGAAGAGCCAGAGTAGGAGGCTGTGCAGAGCTGCTCCTCCCACTGTGTCTGGGTAGGGAAACTAATTCATGGTCCTACTTATTGGTGAATACAGGCTTCAGCCTGTCCAACCAGAGCACAGAGAAAGCTGCATAGTCCATCCAGAAGCCCTGCTTACAGAGGCATTTGAACAGAGAGCAAAACTAGTACCCTCACCTCACCAGGATATCCAGTGCACATTCTTTCATGATTCAGGTACCCAAACAATGAGCCATGCAGGTCCTAGGTGTTGGGCCTGCCCAACTAGGGCAGGGACACTGAGTATGGTACCCAGCCTTGACTATCTAGTAGGACTGACCAGAGAATCCAGGCAACTGTGGAGCCCATCCTATAGCCTCAGTTGGGCTAGGGACCAAGCCAGCAGCATATTCCCCCAACCAAGGACTTCAGAGCTCCAACAGTTGCCTCACCCAAAAATAGACCCTAACAAACAGTAGTCCCCACCAGCCTGAGGACATTACCAGGAGACATCCAGAAACCAAAACTGAGCCAACTAGTGAAGAACTTTCTCTGCCAAACTAAACCTGCAAAATCTGGAAGAGGAGGCCACTTACCCAGATGTGAAGATACCAATGTAAGGAATCAAAGATCATGAAAAATCAGGTGAATATGACACCACCAAATTAATGAAGCATCAATAACTGACTTAAAGAAATGGGTATCTCTGATCTGTCAAAGACAGAATAGTCCTGTGAAAGAAGGTTCGTGAACTACAAGAACACAGAGACGACCAAACAAATTAGAAAACTAATGAATGAACAAAATGAGAAGTTCAACAAAGAATAGAAACCATCAAAAAACAAATCCTAGAGCTAAAAAATATAGTAATTGAAGGATTCAATACAAAGATTCAAATGCAGACTCAACCTTGCAGAAGAAAGAATCAGTGACCTGCAGATAGGGCATTTGAAATTATCTAGTCAGAGGAGAAACAAAACAGGATTTGCATTTTGAGGATTCTGAAGGAAAAGAGAAAGGGACAAAGTATATTAAAAACAATAATGGATTCCCAAACCTGGCAAAAAAACAGATACCCAGACCCAAGAGACCCACAGGACTCCAAATAGGTTGAACCTGAATAGGGCAATGCTAAGACATCTTATAATGTATTAATGTCAATGTCAATGCAAAGAAAAAAATTTTAAAGCAGCAAAAGGAGAGAGAAGTTATATACAAGAGAACCAATGCCTCATGTGACAAAAGGCAGATTTCTCAGTGGAAACATTTCAGGCCAGGAGAAAATGGTATAATGTACTCAAATTATTGAAAGAAAACTATCAACTAAGAATATTATATCCAGAAAAAGTCCTTGAGAAATGGAGGGATAAAAACTTTCCTGAACATTCATCACCACTAGATGTGTGCTACAAGAAATGCTAAAGGGAGTTCTTCCAGTGAAAATAATAAAAAGACACTAATCAATATCATAAAAACATTAGAAGCAGTGTAAAACTCACTGATGATGGTAAAAATATAGTCACAGATTCTGTAATCCATTTACAATTCTAGTTTAAAAGGTAAACAAATGTAGTTAAAATAACCATAACTAAAATGTTACACATTATGAAAAATATGTAAATTGTTAACATCAACAACCTAAATGTGAGGGATAGGAGAACTAAAATTGTAAAGCTTAGGAATTCTACTGAATTAAAATTATATCCTATTTTAAACTAATTAGATATTTTAAGTAAACCTCATGGTAGACACAAGGGAAAAACCTGTAGTAAGTACACAAAGGAATAGGATAAAGAAGTCAGATAACACTGTGATACTGTAAGACAATAAAAAACTAAAAAGGCATCAGGGTAAGGAAAAATGGGTCTATAAAACAATCAGAAAACAATGAACTAAAGGGCAATAATACTTGGCAATTATATATCAATAATTACTTTAAATGTAAACAGATTAAATTCTCCAATAAAAAGACACAGAATGGCTGAATGGATTCATAAACAAGATCCAATGATATGCTGCCTATAAGAGTCTCACATTAGCTTTAAAGACTTATTTTTCCATCCCTTTACTCTCAGTCTATGTATATTTTAAGAAAACAGTAACCAAAAAAGAAAAAAAAAATGGGTAGCTGTACTTCAGAAAAAATAGATTTTTAAAATGGTAAACAAAGTCATAATGTAAAGGGGCCAACAGATCAAGAAGACAGAAAAATTGTAAATATGTGTAAAACATTGAAGCACCTAAATACATAAAGTAAAAACTAACAGGAGAAATGAACAGCAATACAGTAATATTTGGGGACTTTAATACCCCATTCTAAACAATGGACAGATCACCCATAGTATCAGTAAGGAAACAAGATTTGAATACTATAGAACAAATGGACCCAACAGACATACACAGAACATTCTAACAACAGCAGAATATACATACTTCTCAAGTGTACATGGATCACTTTCTAGGGTAGATCATAAGTTAGGCCACAAAATAAATTTTAGAAAATTCAAGAAGGTTGAAATCATACTGAGTATCTTCTCTGACAACAATGGTATGAAACTAGAAATCAAGAATAGAAAAACTGGAAAATTCATGAATACTTAGAAATATAAACAACACTCTCCTGAGCAACCAGTGGATCAAAGAAGAAATTAGAGGGGATATTTAAAAGTTTGACAGATCATACCAAAACTTACTGGATGCAACAAAAGCAGTTCTAAGAGGAAAGTTCAATAGCAATAAACACCTACATTAAGAAGAAAGATTCTAAACATACAACCTAATTCTACATCTTATGGAACTAGAAAAAGAACAAACTGAGCCCAAAGTTAGCAGAATGAAGGAAACAATAAAGATCTGAGCAGAAATGAATGAAACAGAAAACAGGAAAACAATAAAAAAGATTAACAAAACTCAGAATTGGTTCTTAAAAACACAAACAAAATTGACAAACTTTAGATGCAAACACCAACAAATTGGACAACCTAGAAGAAATGGAAAAAGTCTTAAAAACTTGCAAACTACAAAGACTGAACCAAGAAGCAACAGAAAGTCTGAATAGACCAATTTCTAGTAAGGAGATTGAATAAAAA